ATAGGTACAATGTGCGAAGCCCATTTTGCTGGAATATTGCTAAAAGCGGCGTAAGACCATACTCACTCACTTACTCACTAATAATACAGGTTTGGGAGACGGTCATACCACATACCCAATGTACATCTGCAGGTTTGGGAGACGGTCATACCACCTACCCAATGTACATCTGCAGGTTTGGGAGACGGTCATACCACCAAACCCAATGTACATCTGCAGGTTTGGGAGACGGTCATACCACCTACCCAATGTACATCTGCAGGTTTGGGAGACGGTCATACCACTACCCAATACCAATGTACATCTGCAGGTTTGGGAGACGGTCATACCACAATACATCTGCACCCAATGTACATCTGCAGGTTTGGGAGACGGTCATACCACCTACCCAATGTACATCTGCAGGTTTGGGAGACGGTCATACCACCTACCCAATGTACATCTGCAGGTTTGGGAGACGGTCATACCACCTACCCAATGTACATCTGCAGGTTTGGGAGACGGTCATACCACATACCCAATGTACATCTGCAGGTTTGGGAGACGGTCATTCCACATACCCAATGTACATCTGCAGGTTTGGGAGACGATCATACCACCTACCCAATGTACATCTGCAGGTTTGGGAGACGGTCATACCACCTACCCAATGTACATCTGCAGGTTTGGGAGACGGTCATACCACCTACCCAATGTACATCTGCAAGTTCTGGGAGACGATCATACCACCTACCCAATGTACATCTGCAGTTATTTTACGGTGATGCATTGAACCCGCATTGAAGACACAGATTCAGTTTTCAAATTTTGCAACATTTAATTACTTACATATGAAACACATGAAACATTCAAACAGGTCATAGCCCTCTCTAACTATGCGCTTCTTGGTTTAATCAAAAGATACAATTTTCAGTAGAGTGTCTGTGTCCGTCAGCATCATTTTTTGACTATTTTCAATTACGAATAACCTTTAAAAGCGGACGTATCTGGTTCCCACCAGACATGACGACGTGCCTGTGCGAACACAAGAGGGATGTGCCAATTTATTACTCGACCAGAAACGTGTTTTATTTCTGTGTTTCACAAAGGGTTCAGTTAAGAACAACAATTGGCATAAGTTTTTGTTTGGAAATTATACAAAACTTTTCTGTTCCTCCCTTCTATCCATAGAGGAGCCCAACAACCCTAATATTATAACGCAGATCTAGGTTATGGGTTTCATGTAGGGAGCTGCAGAGACAAAGAGTCGTTATAAAGAAAACCTGCTTAGTTGGGAGCATTAACATTACATTGACAACAGTTCTTCATCTTATGAAAGAACTTAAAGAAACCCTGAAGACGTCCGAGAAACAATATAAATATGATATCAATAACAAGTTCAATCAACCTTTATATATACGAGTTGTTTTCTGCACGTTTAAGTTTAGTAGCTGGGATATGTAAAGTCATATAACATTATCGATGTAGTGAACGGATGCTGTACAAAATCGTACCTGAAAACATACAAAATTGTTTTCATTTTGACATGCCAGATGCAGTCAAGATAAGTCTGTATCGATACGTGTTGTTAGGGATCGACATATGTGCTGCAATGTATATGTTAATGGGTCCTGTGAGTCCAATGAACGGTTCATACTGCAAAAGCCTCAGGATAGACTAACATTTAGTCCCTGAAATGAACATATATATATTACAGAAATAACGGTTGCTAAAATATATTTAAAAGGAGCCCAGAGACGTTCATTTTCAGAAACTGTGCTCATCTAGACTTGCGACATATTCTAGACTTGCATGGGCTGCATTGGTGTGTTTGTTTTAATGGTGTGTATGACAGACTAGCCTCAGGACAAACAATGCTTAATCAGCAGTTTTCATTACATATGATATATAGTCCCTCCCTACGTTTCTCATTGCGGATGGACTGTGTTGAATCTTCCATCACAAGGGATATCTATTTCAAATCACGAACTACAAAGGATATTTTTACTAATATAAGTTCTCATTTAATTATTGCATTTTTTCAAAGAATTAGATTTTTTAAATGATTTATAAATAGATATATATTTTATTATTGGTAGTTTAGATTAGTAACTGAGATTGTTAGTGGCTGTACCCTCAAAGGGGTTGAAGTAGCGTAAAATTATAGTCCTCCTGAGAGGGTACGTAAGTCCCGAAACATTCAAAGGAAATTCAAATTTACCAGCTGTTTTAAATGTAGTATTTTTGTCATTTTAATTTTGGCTAAATTTGACTTCAATCGCCAGCGGCTGAAGGGATGATATAAATCCAGCTAGGGTCCATGCAGGTAGCAAAAGTACTGTAAGTCCCAATGGTCCCTAGTTTGGTGATCTACCTTCAGTTGTTGGCGATCTATAGCCAGTTTTCATACTGTATTGTCCAAAGAGTGCTATTAGTTTTAACTTTCCACACTAGTTTAGTTGTAATTGTGATATTCTAGTTGTTTACTGTCCTTTGAAGACAGGTTTTTCTAATATACACATATTACATTTCAATGACAAATATATTCTCGTCACGATATGGCTGAAATATTGCCGATGTGACGTTAAATATTAACTCACTCACTCACTCTTTGCGGATGGACAATTATGGTCATATTAGGGTAGTGTGAGGTGGCAGTCCCCCGAGCTAGCATATCCATCTCAGGAACCCTCTGCCCGTGATCCCTCTGGAGACTACAAGCGTTCACAAGCAATCTGCCAGACAGGGGGTAATCGCGTTTGGTTTGACAGAGGGATCAATTGATATTGGCTGTGCCTGTGAGGACCAACACGACAACGTGATGGATAGCGCCTGATGGCATACATCTCGTTTGCAGAAACAACCATATTCATTGTCAATATCACCGACGTTTATGAATCGGAAATGCTCTTCAATGCGGCTTTATCATTACCGTTCTTCCAATATGCACCCATACTCAAAAATTCAACATGCAACGTTTTCGGATCCCTGTTGAATCGGTCACGGTTTCGTTGCGATCATTTGAATGTGTGTTTGTGCGCTCTAAGTCAACATTGCGTCACACGCACGCGACGCGTATGCGAATCATTCGCGTCTCGCTCGCTCGCGCTGTTTTAACTTGGTACAGACGTAATGTCGAAACATCGGGAAAACATACAGAATAATACAGGAGTGGCAGCCCTAGCCACAGGATTAACACAGAATAAATAGTCTTACTTTTCCAAAATAGACAAAATATATTATATGCTTCATGCGACCATACCTGAAGGGGCACCTGTCAACCCCAAGGGCCGAGCGTGTACGTCAACTGTAACTTTAACCAAAGCTTTGCATTCGAGCAAAATAAGCTGTCGTGCGATTTAGCGATTTCAAAAGTTGACTTCCAAACACAACGTTCAGAGGAAACGCTCCGGGAAAATACGACCATGTTTTATATTCATGGCATTTAAATAACATCCATTAGGCGCACATTAGTTTAAGGTTTCATTTCTGATTTAAATGAATATCCCCATTAGTAACTGATTAGATTTATCCAAGAAAAAGCACAGCATCAAATCAACCAGTTAGGAGCAACACGTTGATAAACCTCTTAGGGGGATTTACTCTACACTGACCGTGTAGGTGACCAAGGACGATGCATATGAATTGGAGCGTTATTCACACTGACGTGAATAACGTTCTCCTTAAGAGCAATCGCTTTTCTCTCGATCGATGAAGTATTGATCTGACTATGTATCAAAGACTATCTTGTGCTTGCTGAATTTGCTATGATATTTAGCGGTGAATGATTGTAAGCTGGTTGAAAGCACGCACAGTATTTTAACAGACGTAGCAGCGGGCTGTGATGATGTATAAAACAAACTGTAAACGCCGTTCAAGAGTAGGACACAGGCATTGATGCAGACATACATGTGAAGGAACTGAAGCTGAATGGCGATATCTTGTTGACGGCAAGTAAGAGCAAACATCATTGAATAATTGTGCCGACTGTTTGCTGTTATCTTCCAGAGTCCTTAGTATCTTTAGATGTTGAACGTGGATTTCCTTGTTCGGAAACTGTATTTTAGACGACATTATATGATAGTTTAGTGTGAGTGAGTGAGTGAGCTTTGAACAGTATTTATGTTATGTCACAACGGGATGTCATTATAAAGACATCACGTTTCCACAACTTTCTGAGTTAATTGTCAGTTTCCTTGCGGCATTCATACACACGATTTATGACCAACTATACTCCTTCGCACTGTTTCTTCAAGCGGACGCAACTTGCAAGACAGCAGACACGAATATCACATTTTCGTTATTAAAGGTAGTGCGTGGGTGGGTGAGGTTTAGCGTTGCTTTGAACAGGATTCAATGTTTCTCTTTGCTTGTGACGAAAGAAAACCATCAAAATGGGACACGTGAAACACGTTTACTACTTGACGCCCACTGTCACGGACATAATTAGTTAGGATTAGGGATTCGAACCCAGCTGGTCCGTGAAACGCTTGAGGAAGCCACACAGCTCCTCGTGATATCGAGCCTCCAGTGTCTTTGGACCTCTCATGCCGTCATTGTTATTAAGGCCTTGCAATTGAGTTTGTATGCATGTCTTAGGGGTTTGGGATAGGAAGGGTTGGGGTGGGTAACATAATCAGATTAGGTCGAGAAATTGTCTCCCCAAAGCCCTTTCTTTAGACAAACCCTCCAGTTTCCCACTCACGGAGCCGAACGCCTGATGTACACCTACTGCACAGATTCCCGTCAATCGAGACATCGCAGACTCTAATGCTCATACAGAACGACGTTGTCTTCAATCATAAGCTTAACTTCTCAGTCCAATCTATATGGTTCTTTCTGAAGTCTTCTAGAAAACCTGTAAATCCACCACTGCAACTAATAGATAGGCGCTTCCAACTGTGATATCGCAGGCACATTATTTAAAACAAATACATACACCCCTTCACTGAGGTCTCACTTACTCATCATCAATGTAACGTTAGCAAAAGAAAAATGACTGATTGTAATATCAGACTTACCTGCTCTACAACGAACACCCTAAAGTCTAGCTGTTGTCTCCTAAGAATGGGTAATAGATGCGCTAGCAACACAACTAAATGATGAAGTCTGTCCCTGTAGGGGATGATGATGGCGACACGGTATCTTGCGTAACACGACGAGGGCTTCCATTTGCCGCCGTACTGGATGTCCACGTTCTCCTCAATGACGTCCACAAGCTTGATGTCGTCATGGGAGTGACTTGCATTTACATTTAAAGGTCCCTCTGAAATAAGAAATGGCAGACATGAGTAAGTTTGTGAGATGGCGGGAACACTTCTTTCAACATACACTGTATTTGATTTAGTATATCAGGAAGATCCTTCAGTAAAATGTGAGGACTACACGTTTATGAAAAGGCACTGAGGTTCACAAGTATCGGGATTAGTGGACAAGAGGCCGTTTTGTTTGTCGTGTATATTGTTTAACGCTGCACCCAGCTGTATTCTAGACTAAAAAATAATCTGGAAAATCTCAATGACTGATGTTATGAGCATCGATCTGCGCAACTGGGGTACAACCAGGCAAATCTGACCATCCGATCCCGTTAGTCCCTTCCTGTGATAGTCACTAGTTGCTGAGGAACAGTTCTAGTCCGGATCTTCACGGACGGACAAATGGGTGTATCGGATCGAAAATAAAGTGAGCTTAACTATTTGTGTAAATGCACGAGAACAGACCCAATACTGGGCGGCCAAGGGTCACAATCGAGTAACCGCCGTCACAAACCACGATTGCCAGACCACACGTAGCGGGGCATTTAAGGCTGTAATGCGGTTACCTTGACCACAGCTGACCAATGCAATATACACCCCAGCATAACAAGGTTCAGGACATAAACACTAAATCTGCAGAGGGACGATTGTCTATTGATTACAAATAAATGACATCACTGAGTTACGGACCACAATGATTGAGATACTGTTACACGTACACGTTGCTTAACGTAATCTTCTAACTTGTAATAGATGGACCGAAGGCTCTCTAACTTGATCTCCCGGTCAATATGGAAAAACAGAACCATTTACACCTCGATCCATAGTGTTTCTCCATCCACTTACTCCGACATCCTGGCCGACATACAACATGAGACATTATCAATCATCAAGGAGTTTACTGAGTCTACAACCTCGGTAACTGAAACCAACATCAGTATGTCTTCTGAATATTTTCCTTCTTTTTCGTCTAAAGCCATGGAAACGGAAACAGTCGCTCAAATAGATTACCAACCCAATACATATACTCTCTTTCAATACCTCCATGTCAAAGTACACTGAGTTTAAAAAAGCTGTTAAATAACATATACCTGGTCCGAGATAAAACCAGCAAATAAAACTTGAGAAAAAATCAACAGGTTTAGTTTCACCAATTCAAAGACGTCAGAAGAAGAGAATTAATCAAATGTTTTATTAACCGACTACTTGGGCATAACAGCGGTTTATGGCATCCAGGAGCCTCTACCGGCAACAAGGGGCACATAACTGTACACGATTTGCGTACAAACACCCCGCTGTTGCCAATGGTTCAAATACAATCAATACATGTTGTATTAAAGTGACTGACTTCTCTCCGACCCAGTACTGTCAGTAACGGCATCACTTTATGCTTGATAATTACACCCTACTGTCTTTCCAGCGAATCAAGGGATAGACACGTCTCTGAAGCGATTGATGTTTCCAGCTTTAATATGATCTGTAAACGCTCTAGTCGACCCATGTGGTTGCCGAAACAGCCCTGATCGTGGATGTGTGCCAACGGCTTCTATTAGAACGGATTTAAGAGGATGAAAGAGCACGCGCGATTTCATTTGAAACCTCCTATTGTGACTTTGCCAAAATGTTTGATTTGTACAAGGTCATGACAAAGCATACAATCTTGTTTCAGAAGCTTGCTATTGACGCCAAAATTATTGTTTGATCTGTGATAACAACTCTACGGCGTATCTAGGTCAAAGTTGAGTAACTGCCTATATTATCGCAACGTGATATGAGTGAACTAAAAGTGATGCAAGGTATGGGAGTTACGGTCACCTTAGCGCTAAGACTACCTTAAGTCTATGTTAAGGTATGGGAGTTACGGTCACCTTAGCGCTAAGGCTACCTTAAGTCTATGTTAAGGTATGGGAGTTACGGTCACCTTAGCGCTAAGGCTACCTTAAGTCTATGTTAAGGTATGGGAGTTACGGTCACCTTAGCGCTAAGGCTACCTTAAGTCTATGTTAAGGTATGGGAGTTACGGTCACCTTAGCGCTAAAACTACCTTAAGTCTATGTTAAGGTATGGGAGTTACGGTAACCTTAGCGCTAAGGCTACCTTAAGTCTATGTTAAGGTATGGGAGTTACGGTCACCTTAGCGCTAAGGCTACCTTAAGTCTATGTTAAGGTATGGGAGTTACGGTCACCTTAGCGCTGAGATCGCTTTGCATAACGGCACCCTGGTGATCGCATTGTCTTGACCAAATATACACGAGTCAAACATTAAACACTATCCATAAAGGCCACGATGGAAGCTCCTTCGTTTGCAGGTACAAGTTTTGTTTGGGTAACGAGCTTCTTTAGTTTAACCAATCGCCATGCCTACATGACAGCAAGGCAACATTACAACAAATCTGCATCTGCGGTACAACCTGCTTCCATCAGGCCTGTCGTAGATATGTGCACTTTAGTCTGTCTCACAGTCCCTAAACATAATGATTTCCCCTTCCACCCAGCCCTTACTGTATTGTTATAGCCCAAATAGAGATAGTCCCCAGGTACAGGTCTGAATTTCCAATTTCAGTGAGGCTCCATTTCAATTTAAATGTCAAAGACTTGTATTTTTATGAAAACGTTTATTCTGTGTGCTCCACTAAAAGCAATCTCCTGCTTCTGTGGTCTGTTTTCCGTTGCAGCATATTCTCCTCCAACCGCCCGGCAATGTCTGTCAGAGGCAGCACGACAGCAGGGTCATACATGCCCACTCCAGAAACTAACGCGACCCCCGCCTGCCTTAATTACGTTAGTGGAGGGGAGATGATAGGCAATGATTTAGGGGTGGTCTTGAGGCTGCCTGTTGATCCCTGGCCAGCCCAAGACTCTGACCCAAGAGCCATCATTTTTCTCTTGGGACCATATCTTGCTCTGATCAATACAGTAATCAGCATGTGCCTCTATGAAAGCCACACTCTGCTGGCGGAGACTGACTTCACCCAGATCCCTTACAGTCCGTCAATAAAATTAGACATTCGACAATCCTGGGGACGTTTGTCCTCTGGCGTCTTCTTCCTCCTCTAAAGACAAATATTGATACGAGTTTAATCCTTGAATAAGACCCTCAAACACCTCCATGTTTGAATCCTTTGTCACAATCGTTCCAATTTTCCGACTGACCACCTCATGATTTAGAGACGCGTCTGCGAAGAACTTGTGAGAATATCTCCGTCTCCAAAGGCTAGACCATTACGAGTATTCAGATCGCCAATTTGTGTTTCAGATGAGGAAAGCAATCTTGAAAAAGCTTTTCATCCAAAGAAATTATTCCTGTCTCTACTGCCCAAGGCGATATGGTCGGAGTCAATTTGTACGCAGGGCTCGGGTTATGCATGTCTTTTCGCTATCCCTTCCAGGAATTCTAATTCTCTATTATAGAAATTAGTTTACATACATAAACAATTGCCTCACCTTATTCCTCTTGCACTATTTTGCTAATATTAGTGTTTCTACTCCGCATTGAGGGTGCCGGTATGGTAAACATGTTCAAATAGGCTAATGTTTTGGAGAAAGCTTTCGATACTCTCGCTTGTTAAAGTCCCATAAACCTCTGCTCAGCTTCGTCTCCGCTTCCAACATGTATAATTTACCCCTCAAACACTCAACGCTGATAACTGGGTTTTGACAGATTTGGCAAGAAATTGAATTGTGAGTCAACTCGAGTTCATGTCTTGGAGCAAGGACATCCTTCAAATGACAGGACAGCCACAAACGGACCTTACTTAGCAAGACGATTGCAATTGCGTTTGGCAAAACAACCAGTGTATTCTCATCAAATTAGGGAGGGGGTATTGATTCTTCTGAATAATAGATGGGATCTTGTGGCCCAAGGAAGCAGTCCTGCTTCGGGAAGTGAAATGGGAGTTTTTTCCAAACTGGTTTCTTCAGTAATCTCAGCAATTTGGACAATGCAAAATGTATATATCGTACAACCAGGAGCTTGCTGTTTCGTGCGATTGGTGCTATTTGCGTATTTATTCCGCTTGTAATAGGCAAAACGAATCCCTTGTGTCACAAGAAAGGTGACATTTTAGACTCCCTGGTTTTAATGTTTGGTCCACGTTAACTTCGATGTGGTCTATGAATTTCCAATTGTCGTTCCTGTCGTATGGATGAAGCCAGTTTAATTCACATCTTTGCATTTCCTCCCGTCAATAATGCCTATCTAAATGTCAAACGGTTTTATGTTTACCCAGGAGGCAGAATCTCTGGGTTTTGTTATGAATAATGCATCGTGGACGAGGTATACACATATGAAATGTTGTGAAATACTCCCAAAAGTTAATACATATGGCACATGCATGGGAATCTGTCTGCAGTCAAATTGACATCTTGCCATAGCTCAACAATGGTAAACAGAGCCTGCAAGCATACTACTCTACCTGTATCAACTGTTAAGTGCTTTGTTAATGAGTCATTGTTTTCCGACATTCGCCGTCATCTGTCCAGATAAATAAATTCATCCCACTAATTGGCAACATAATAATATGATCTAAAGGATTTCATAACATTCACTGATCTGCATGGTCGTCTGCTCTAGTCACGTGATCCATCTCTTCCCGCCATTCGGGAGTCTAAGTCGATGACAAATTGAAGTAGTCTCGCGATAAGTGGAGCACATCTAGACAAGCTTTTTGTGCAATAAAGCGAAATGTGATCATACACACAGCAACCTAGCACTGGCTTCCCAACATGCGATCTCTGATTTTATCGACCAAGCTTCTGATGGAGGACCAGTTTCTATTAGCCCTCGTACATCAGTCAGGTGAGGAACAGTATGGGATGAAGAGGATTTCGGGGATGTATGAACACCGATGGCCAGATTGTTACATGAAGCTTTATTCAACGTCACTAACATAAGTATTTGATCATCGACAGCTTGCTTATTCATTGCGTAAGACGTAATACTGTAGAGTCTGGACCATCAACGGCGAGACTCAGTGAGATGTTAAATGTCACAACAGGCGTTACATAGGGA